TTGCAGCAGCAGCAGCAGCAGCAGCAACAACAGCAGCAGCAGCGGCGGCCTGAACGGAGCTTGTCCCCTACGGTCATGAGCGACACGCCGGCCAGCAGGGGGTTCGCCGTTCCGGAGGAGGGGTTTACCCTTGGCAAGATGGGGGCGTCCATGCTGAAGGGCGTGGATCGGTGGCCGGAGCGTACGCGAGAGCAGCAAGATGAATCAGTCAGGTGGGGCGGGCCATCGAACAGTGACATGCCCGTCGGTTACGCAAGGATAGCAAGCTTCTCTGCTACTGCTTTACGTACCGCCGCGGCAGGACTACCGTATGCATAGGTCGCGTGAGATGCCACAACCGCTTGGCCGATAATCAAAGCTCGATTACCGCTGCAGGAAAAACAGCGCAAGTTGCGGACATGGCGGCGTTGAACAGTCTCGTCGAGAGCTTTCCGATCATGTTTTCTTCGATGGTGGCATCCTCCATGTCGTGAAGTAATCGAGCTTTGAACATATCGGTTTTGAGGGGTATGGTATTTTACGTTTGTATCCCCCCGTAGTTCTCTGTGGGGCTATGTACGATTTTGAGGGCCTAAAACACGATTTTGACTCAAAGGTTTTTGTCCGAGCCGAAATGCTCTATATGAAGTTTCATGGCGGGGACAAGCAACTCTTTCCCTTTTGCCCTCTAAACTCCGATTGTTGTCTAAATCCGAAAGTATACATCGTAATTTTATATGTTTTTCTCATGGCCAGCCGGGACAAGTCACTTTTACAGTACTCTGTTCGGATCCATATTGTCTCCATCCTCCGTCCTGTCGAGGATGCGTGGTCTTTGGTCTAGCAACTAAGGCATGCAATACTTTATTACCACCCTCCATGCGACTCGCCGAATACCTCACGGCGCTTCGCGCACCTCACGGCGCTTCGCGCTTGGTGATGTGAGAGCCTGGTCCGGTGAGAACCCGGCGTGCTCCGTCCCGGCTTTACAGGGATGCGAGGTCAATAGTCAAACGACTACGGCATGCACGACTATGAGGTCGGGAAGGNTCTACAGGGGTTCAAGGAGAAGATATCTGTTGCTTGTGTCGAGAGAGAATAACAGGATCTAAGGAAACAAACCAAGGATAAGGAGGGTCTAGAAGTGTACGGAATGTTGAACGAAGGAATAGCGTTCAAGGATTACCTACATGGACCAATGGATGCAGGAACAAAGCTTAAGGTCAAATTCAGGACCGGGGACATAGGCCTTCGAGAACGTCGACGAAGACATGGGACGGTAGACAACGATGACGACGAGTTCAAATGTGATTGCGGCTTCGAATGCGAAGACCGTGTTCACGTAGTCGCGGAATGCCCGTGGTACAAGAAGGAGCGGGAAGTGTACGTGACTGAGCTGGGAAAAATAGATGGGACGTACAGGAAGATGGTTGAGGCATGGAATAGAGAGGAAAGGACGGTAGCTGTAGTGGGGCATAGGAGGTGGGTTGAAAAAGGCGGGAAGGGATATCGTTACGATAGACAGAATAGGGAGGACATTTTTGAGCCACCTTTGGCAAAGTAGAAAGGAGCGATTGGCCGTCGGTGATCGGTCCTGTGGTAACAATGCTCCGTCCTCTGGAGGATGCGTGGTCAATGGTCTAACGGCTAAGGTATGCAAAACATAAGAGTACGCCCCCCCCCCCCCGCGCTATTAGGGTACAGAGGGGTGCGGGATAACACTTTGCGGAACCCCTTGAGGTAGCCAATCTTCGCGTTTTCAGTTCTCGGAACACAATGGGCCATCTCGCTTGTTTTTGGCTCGACTCTCCATGGACTGCTGCAGGCTCATCTTGAACGACCTGCGCTTGTCCCCCCTCGGGCTTGGACGCCGGAAGAAGCTTGAGTCTGAGCTCTCAGACCGCATCTACATGGCGATGGAATCTCTTTCCCAAGGGTTGAACGCTCAGGATGGGTGAGTGTTGATTTTGCTGCTGCTGGTGGCGGTGATGGTATTGGTGGTGGCGACCTTTCTACTGGATGATTCGGTTCGAATAATTAGTGTAGAACAGGACCCATCCCGTACCAAGACAAAACCTCCCTGCTACCCATTCCGCACTAGGATCAAACGCCCCCCCCCTCCCCCAACGATATAATGGATGTTTCGGTTCGGGAAAGGGCTATCACGATAAGCCGCAAGGTCCTCGAGCTGCGGATGACCATCCACGAATTCACGAGCTCTCTCGGAGGGAAGTACGCGGAGCTCTACGGCAAGGCTGTCGCAGCCGATGCCGGCGGCTGTGGCGGAGGCGGCGGCGGCGGCGGCGGCGGTGTCCACACCACCACCAACAACAGCCGCGGGAGCAGCAGCAGCGGCATCAACAACAGCAGCCTCGTTGCCAGCCCAAGAATGGGCGGCGGTAACAACTACTACAGCAGCAGCAGCAGCAGCAGCAACAACAACATCAACAAAAACAACAACAGCAGCAGCAGCATCCTCGGCAGCGGCAGCCGTTGGGGCATCAGGGCGTTCGGCAAAGGGGGGCGCTACGGATCGGAAAGGGAAGGCGGAGAGGTGGCGGCCTGCTCCTCCCCCTTTGACTCCTTCGCCCCTGTCTCCCCCGCGGGATCCAGCGTCTCCAAGCGCTCTGCTTCCAACCACAGCACTAGTAGCCTTCGGCAGCAGCAGCAGCGGGAATCGGCGATTGACCGCCCGTCTTTTTGCTTCGCGGGGATGGGGCTAGGCGGCGGCGGCGGAGCCACCTCGTTCTGGCCGGACCCTAGCCGCACCGCTCAGAAGGAGCCCCCCAGGGCCCCCTCCTCCCCCGTCCAGCCGCAGCGGGGGGCGGGGGGGCCGTCGTGTGCAAGTGATGGATCTGGGGGGGGGGGTCAGGTCGTTGCTAGCGAGGAATCGTCGTTCTGGGCAGCGCTCGAAGTCTGCAGGGTGCGTTCGTTGATGTTGCCGAGGGGGAGGGGGCTCAGCAGGGCCGGGGGGGGGACCCTTGTTTTGCATGCCTGAGCTGTTAGGCCAATGACCACGCGTCCTCGGGGGGAGCGAGGGCGGTCAATGGTGCATCTGTTGCTGTTGTTGTTGTTGTTGTTGTCTTGAAATTGATAAAGCCGTTCCGGTGTCTGCTATACCAGATACCTTGCGATAGCCGTGTTACCGGTCTACTGACTCGGAAGCCTTCCGTGGTCACAGGCAACTACCCACACAAAGGGACGTTTGTAGAAATCGAAACAGCTCTTTAAATATACCATTCAACCTTTTGCTGGTGACAATTCCCTCGAACTCGATGCTGGTCCGTTTTTTTTTTGTGTGTGTTATCTAGAATTCAAAGAACGCAAACATTCATTAAATTCCACTTTTAACCTTGTTGATGATCACCCTCACGATCTCGATTCTGCCCCCCCCCCCTTTTTTTTTTCGAAAGGGGGCCTTGAAGAGGGTATCCTTCTGTCGCAGGGAGGAGCAGTGGCTGGAGCTGCAAAGGAAGGCCGTGAAGGAGAGGATGGACGAGACAGAGGAAGCCGACCAGATGGCCCTAACGGAGCACCAGACGAAGGTATGCATAAGAAGAAAAGACGCATAAGTTAGGAAGAAAGTGAGATGGCCCTTGCGGAGGGAGCACCAGACGAAGCCAAAAGAAAAGTACTGTGTTTCCATTGACACTTTGTTGCTTGTTTCTTTGAAACACAACTTGTTCTTAGAAAGTAAACATGACCTCACAGAAAGACTACCCGTTCGAGATATAACCTCAGTCGAAAGAGATGTGGTGAAGTCTTTTCAGTAAGTGGATTGAAACCAACTGGCGACTTGGCTTATTTTGAGTTTGTGTAAGCCTAACACTGAGTAGGCAGTAATGCCAGTTGGAGCTAAGAACAAAAGCATCTGTAAAGGTGGATACATTCTTAGTTTTGTGTGGAATGCGGCCTTCACAGGGAACATGGTGCAGTGTCGTTTGACAACTTGCTGTTTTTTGAATGTACTTCGCTGCTGTTTTAGGCGACTTGAATATAGACTGCAGTATGTACAGCTGTAGGACTGTTGTACATGTACACGCACCACAATTTTTGTTTGAAATTTGTTTGAATTTTTTTTAATTTCAGAAGTTGGAGTTGTACTGTAGATTTGAGTGTGGCTGTTTCCCGCTCATTTTGAAATCTACAATGTTATGTTGCTCTTCGTGTAGGTGAAACGCGTTGAAGGGGAAGGGGATATATAGGATGGTAGGTTAGGAGTGATACTGATTTACAGCAATGACGTTTAATTTTAGTCTTGCTTGTGTGTAGCGTATGATCGAGGCAAATAAACAGGCGACGGTCAGCACAGCAGTAGAGTTGCAGTCCATGTAGGTAGAACTTCCCTGTTTTTCTTCGAACGGTGCGTGTCGAAGAGTGTTGTCGAGACCGTTTGCAGCGCGTCTCAGCCATGTTGTAGAGCATCCTTCATGAAGGGCAGTAGCAGCAGCAACGAGTAGTAGTCGATTGTAGTAGATCTTAACTGGTACGCGACGAAAGGTACACACGCGTTGTATCCAAGTACATACCTGGGAGTTGATACGCAGCAGGAGAAGGTGGTGTCAGCTGCGAGGTCAATATGAGTGAGCGGCTTTGCACGAAACTCGAAAATGCCTTCCCGAAGTTGTTGTTTGTCTCCATTGACACACAATTTGTTTTGTTTGTTTCTATCGGTATTCAATTTGTTTGTTTGTTTCTATTGAAACACAATTTGTTATTTTGTGTCTTTTCACATACAATTTGTTTTCCTTGATACTGTACCAGCGTAGGTGATGTAGGGCACAAAACACACCGAAAAGCTTGAGCTGACACAATGGTAAAAACGGATTGTTCTCATAAAAAACGACAACAACGATGACAACAGGAGCAACAACAAACGGACATTAGAAGTTGCTCAGCATAGACGGGAACGAGGACGATTTGTATTGTCAATGACAACAACAACAACAACAACATAGAAGTTGCTGAGTAGAGCGGACCAATTTTGATTGACAACAACAACAACAACAACAGCGGTCGGTATGTGCCAGGTCGAGACCACCAAGGATGAAGTGCAGGCCGCTGCCGATGCTGTCGAAGACGCCACGAACGCCGTCATCGGTGACCACCTCAACTCGACCGGGTCTAAAGAAGACGCCCTTCGGTCCCTGGTCTCTTCCCTGCAGCAGGTCAGTCAGATTTAGTTCTGTGTTCGTTTCTTGTTCGTTAAATGCAGCTTGACTTTTTCGAGGCGAAGAAAAGTCGGATATTTTTGTTCATGTGCTGCTGCTGTGGAAAAGAGGGTTTCGTCCTCGACAGACGTTGGGGAGGTTCACCTTTATGAAGGTGTTCTCCACATTACCCCCCCCTTTGTCGAGGCTTCTTCTTGTTTGCTAGGCAAGAGAAGAAGTCTTCTTGGGGTAGCCGGAACCCGACCGGCTGGCGGCGAGTAGAACCATCTTTTTTCCAACTATCTTCTGTGCGTGTGTGCGGGTGCGCCTCTTCCGCCACGCATTGCCTGAAGTTCCGAGTTCGATAGGCAGTGCATCTTTTCTTGGCCCACCCACCGTTTATCTTTTTCCATACTACTCCGGAAGAAAATTAGGTGAGCAGGGGGATTTGAACCCGTGTCTTCTGCAACCAAAAGCATATACCTGACATCTCTTGTTGACGCCATTGTGGAAAAGAGGGTTTCGTCCTCGACAGACTCTGGGGAGTTTCAACCTTTATGAAGGTGTTCTCCACACTGCTTGCCTCGCGCGAAGAAGCGGTGTTACGCACGTTCCAGCATTGCAATCGATGGTGCAGTGGTTGGGTTGTCGCCTGCAGCTGGTCAGTCAGCATTGCTTTCTGCTTTTCGCATGCTGCTTGCCTTTGTCGAAGCAAAGGAGCCATGCACGTTCCTGCACAGCACTCAAAAATAACGTCAACAGCACTATCACGCCAGCAACCAACAATCAATCCAACACATCCACAACACATCCACGACACATCCGCAACCATGTCCGCCACAGCAACCAACACAACTTGCACCGGCTCGTATTAATACTAGTGGTGAATCCACAACTCCAACAACCAACAAGAACACACCAATGCACCTGTCACACCCGGCCGGTCGTTTACCGTAGAGGCAAAGCCCCCACTAAAGAAACAACAATAATCACAGCATGCAACGGCTCGCCAACCAACAACAACACAGCAATTCACGTATCACTCCCGGCAGGTCGTTTACCGTAGAGGTAAAGCCCCCACTAAAGAAACAACAATAATCACAACATGCACCGGCTCGCCAACCAACAACAACACAGCAATTCACGTATCACTCCCGGCAGGTCGTTTACCGTAGAGGTAAAGCCCCCACTAAAGAAACAACAATAATCACAACATGCACCGGCTCGCCAACCAACAACAACACAGCAATTCACGTATCACTCCCGGCAGGTCGTTTACCGTAGAGGCAAAGGCACCACCAAAACAACATTCATCACAACGTGCACCGGCTCGCCAACCAGGAACAATACAACAATGCACCTTTCTCACCCGACCGTTCGTTACCCCAGAGGCAAGGTCAGCTGGGAGGTTGCGACCCGCTGGCGGCGCGGCAGAGAGCCATGAGCGTCAAAGACGCCGCCGAGGCTAAGCTCAAAAAGCAGGAGACCCAGCTGGTCGTTGTCGAGCACGCCACTAGGATCTGCTCGGTACTCCGCAACGAGACGTGTGAGTACAGGCATATAGCGTAGTTTATTTTTTCTTCTTGACTTAATATTTCACAACGAATCCAGCTCTACCTATGGAAATATAGATTTTTTTGCAAAGGGGAGGGGCGGCACATGACGCGGCAGCGTTTATCTCAAGAACATGGTAGATACTCCTTGTTTGGAGGATCTGTTGGTCGTTTTTCTTTTTCTTTTGGGTATCTAGACGTGTGTACCCCTTTTTGGTAGTTGGCCTGTGACCACGGAGCCGCCGTCCGCTTTAGTTGGACCGGCACGGATAATAGACGGTACAGCACTGAGTGGAGACCGAAACGACTTTTCATATGAAGGTACAGCACTGAGTGGAGACCGAAACGACTTTTCATATGAAGGTACAACACTGAGTGGAGACCGAAACGACTTTTCATATGAAGGTACAGCACTGAGTGGAGACCGAAACGACTTTTCATATGAAGGCAACAACGGCAATACAACATCAACAACAACAACCACAACAACAACAGTTTCTGCCGATACCTTCAACTTCATAGCTATGGCACAACGTTTTTTTTTTTTTTGCGTGTTTCCTCTCCATTTTTTTTTTTGTCCTTTTGATTCGTGGTTTCGTTTGAAAACAGTCGGCGATCTTATGGACGTCATCAGCGAAGTTCAGGCAGACGCCCGTCAAAGGAAATTCAACCGGCAACAGCACGTGAAGGTAAGCGTCGTCCCCAATCTTGCTCTTTCTCCCATCACGTCTCAATGTCTGGCCTATCTATCACGCCAAGCCACACACCACTGCATTGCTGTCTTCGAAAGACCCAGGGTCATTCGGAAACAACATGTGATTATTGCAATGGTCCCATATTTTTAGCCGGAGTTGTGCTTCAGTTTCAGCTGAATTCACCGTGCAATATGCAAACAGTACTAGGCCCTGTATTGTGCCGGTCGAGTAGTAGTAGTTGCGGGTGCCCGGATTGTGCCGGAGTTTTCGGCTCGCACCCAACTGGAATACCAAGCCGTTCTGTACGTTGAATAAATCCGGTGTCCGGTATATGTCCCTGTCAACGATATAGTGCCGGTCAAAGCTATGGACACGAGTGTCCACTCCAATACTAAGAACTATATGTTCTGAATAGTGCCGGTAAAATCTCTGGCCGGGAGTGTCCGCTCCTATACTAAACCAATATGTTCTGAATTGTGCCGGTAAAATCTCTGGCCGCGAGTGTCCACTCCAAATACTAACACCTATATGTTCTGAATAGTGCCAGTAAAATCTCTGGGCGCGAGTGTCCCATTCCAATACTAAACCTGTATGTTCTGAATTGTGCCGGTAAAATCTCTGGCCGGGAGTGTCCACTCCAATACTAAAACCTATATGTTCTGAATGGTGCCGGTAAAATCTCTGGCGGCGAGTGTCCACTCCAATACTATAACCTATATGTTCTGAATAGTGCCGGTAAAATCTCTGGGCGCGAGTGCCCACTCCAATACTAAACCTATATGTTCTGAATAGTGCCGGTAAAATCTCTGGCCGCGAGTGTCCACTCCAATACTAAAACCTATATGTTCTGCGTTTGTTGGATATCAGCTTTTACAAGAGGACATCAACGCAGTAGTATTTTAGCAAGCTTACGAACGCATGTAGGATACCATGAGGATTTTATTTCAAATTGAAGAGGAGATATTTTTACGATGTAAGTGACAGTAGAAATAAGTCCTACATGTGTTGTTGTACTTCGTATTTGTTTAATATTCATGTNAAATCTCTGGCCGCGAGTGTCCACTCCAATACTAAAACCTATATGTTCTGCGTTTGTTGGATATCAGCTTTTACAAGAGGACATCAACGCAGTAGTATTTTAGCAAGCTTACGAACGCATGTAGGATACCATGAGGATTTTATTTCAAATTGAAGAGGAGATATTTTTACGATGTAAGTGACAGTAGAAATAAGTCCTACATGTGTTGTTGTACTTCGTATTTGTTTAATATTCATGTAGGTATGAGACATTAAGTGAAAGTTTTCTGAGGTACATCTGCAATTGTCGGAAGGCAATAACAATATATATATATATATGTTCTGAATAGTGCCGGTAAAATCTCTGGCCGTGAGTGTCCACTCCTTTACGAAAACCTACATATTCTGTATAGTGCCGGTAAAATATCTGGCCGCGAGTGTCTACTCCCATACAACAACCTATATGTTCTGAATTGTGCCGGTAAAACCTCTGGCCGGGAGTGTCCACTCCCATACAAAAACCTATATGTTCTGAGTAGTGCCGGTAAAACCTCTGGGCGCGAGTGTCCACTCCAATACTAAAACCTGCATGTTCTGAATAGTGCCGGTAAAACCTCTGGGCGCGAGTGTCCACTCCCATACTATAACTTATATGTTCTGAATTGCGCCGGTCAAATCCCAGGACACGCACCGGCACCATTCAGGGCCCAGTACTGTACTTGGTGGTTGCGTGCACACCAAACGAGAAAAGAGGTGCAGAAACGGTGTAGCCGCCAATCCCAAGCCTGGCCCTCTCTGGGAGACACGGGGACTTGTTAGGGACAACCCGATAGCGGGCGAAATCGACCCACCCACCCCCCGTCCCCCTCCCCCCATTCTAGACTTAAGTGTGTTGACGCTGTTGGCAAAGCGCTGTAAAACACGCCACCCCAAATATAGCCCCCATAGTATGCACTACCAAAGACGCGTGACGCATGGATGCGTGGAGTGAGGATAGCTTACGGAAACCTCACAGGTTGAGTGATGTAGGAGATTACCGAACACATAGACGTGTTGAGTGATTATAGCTGTATACTGAAACCCCAACGGTTGAGTGAGGTTTGAGGTTGCCAGACACATGGACGGGTTGAATGGGGATAGCTGCATACTGAAACCCCACGGGTTGAGTGATGTTGGATAGTGCCGGACACATAGACGCGTTGAGTGAGGATAGACACATATTGAACCTCACAGGTGATTTGTGATGGAGATTGCCGGACACATAGACGTGTTGAGTGAGGATAGCTGCATACTGAAACCTCACAGATGGATTGGTTTTTGAGTTTGCCAGACACATAGACGCGCTGAGGGGGGATAGCTACATACTGAAACTCACGAGTTGAGTGATGTTGGATAGTGCCAGACACATGGACGATTTGAGTGAGGATAGCTGCATTTNGGAGTTTGCCAGACACATAGACGCGCTGAGGGGGGATAGCTACATACTGAAACCTCACAGATGGATTGGTTTT